TTTTTACCTAATTTTTATATTATAGGATAACTGATAAAATACAATAACTCAACACTTAGACTATTCCTAAAAATAATCTATCGCAGTAGATTTTACATGTCTAGTATAGTATGATATATATTATGGATCAGGAAACGCAACAAGTGGTCAAGTAAAATATTCTACACTAGTACACTGGAAGTACGTAAATCTTATCAAAAATTCTAAGATTTATACRGATACATCGAGCCAGGTCGGTTATTAGGCTGCTCAGTCGAAGTTATTGTACATGAACTTGGGAAAGCAGGATACTGTGCTGGCAATAGTGCAACCACATTTGAGTGTCTATATTGTTCAATAATGACTGGTAGTTGCCAGTCTTCATCGGGATTCCACGATGGAACTTTGTTCTGAAGGGCACGTAAAATACCATTTAGCCTATCATTATACTTTGGTAAATTCTGTAGTCTCAAATCATTTAGCTTTAGCCTATCAGTATACTTTGGTAAATTCTGTAGTCTCAAATGCGGACGCATAACCGCAAAGAAGGATGACACAGATTTTTCCCTTGCCGCTACAAAATTTTCTAGTTTGTATTTTTGATTTTCATGCTTTTTCGCCAGGGCTTTTAGTTCGGCTTGAAATCTGCGTTTTATTTCGGGATGCTTGTCTTGATTTTTGCAGCTCATGACACTTTCACAAGGAGGTGATTTACAGGTTTTCTTCGTATGTCCACTCATGTAGCAATGATTACAAACACGACCTCGTTGGTTTGTAAATCGCTCCTGTTGAGATTTGATTCTCCAACTCAGACTTTGCGCTTTTGATTTGAACATCAAGAACAGTTAGGTTGTCTTTCATTTCTACAACCTTTTTATCCAGTGGCTTGCTGCTCGTTTCCTGGCTACCTTTTGCAGTCATTCCAGTCATACATTGGTTTGCAAGTGGTTTGCGTTAGAGCTAGAAAGTGGAACTACTTGATTTTGGTTTATTATGGGTGGAAATCTGTTTGCTAGTTCGGCTCTACATGCCGGAGTTTCACGAGTTGTTGGCACCATCGTCGAAGAAGTTTGATACAGGCCAGGAGAATTGAAAGTTATAGCTTTGACTTGTTTGTGTTTTTTTTTCGGATCATTCTGCAGGATTGTTTTCATTTGAACAGGAAAATATGTTGGGGAAATGTCAACTTAATGACAAATACGTTGGGGAAATGTCAACTTGGCAACGGTAGCGCGCGTCGCGCTGTAATGGATCACAAGAATCTGTACCTAATTATTAAATTAACGTSAATGTTGAAGGAGYGGAAATTCCAATGGATACTGACACCGGAAGTTCAGTCACTCTTCTCAAGAAACAAGATTTTTAGAAACTACAGAATATAAGCATGTCTACTGTGACGATTAGGGATTAACGTACAAAAGGATTACATAACGCATTGTCTCGGAATCATTCAAAAGGAGAAGCGTCGTTAGATCGTGAGAAGTTGAAAAACAAGTACCTCGTCAGTTAGCAACTCCTGTTAGCGGGTTAAACTTGGACTTCGGATATTTGCGCAGCAAAGACGTACATGTAAAGATTCTACCAGGTGACATAGTGAACAYTGAACATTTTGAACACTGAACATTTAGTATTTAGTAACTTTATAATTGTTTTGATAGAGTAGAAGCCCTTTAAGTTATAATACTTAGTTAAGTAAAACTTATTGTTGCAATATGTTTTACTTAACTAAGTATTATAACTTTTTTTTAATTTTTGTTGTTACTTGCTTTCGAACCRTCATATCTACACTGGAACGTCCAAGTTTGCTATTAAGGAGCTACACTAGAGACTTAATTACTTGTTATGGAGAAAAGARCATGAAAATTAAAATCGGAGATCAAGAGACTGACGCGATTCGTGTCGTTGATGGGCCTGGACCATTGTTACTGGGGCGTGATCTTTTGGAAAAAATTACTCTACCGTGGAAAAGTACTTTCAAGGTTTATATTTCTGTTGATGATGTATTGAATGATTATAYTGATCTTTTTGATACTACACATGTTGGAAAGTTAGAAGGAGTTCAAGTGTCACTGCGCGTAAAGGATGACAATCCAATATTCATGAAAGCAAGAACGGTGCCATTTGCTATACGAGAACAGTATGCACAAGCACTAGACAAGCTAGATGCGGACGGGATCATCGAGAAGGTAGACTACTCTGATTGGGCGTCACCTACAGTCCCCATAGTGAAGCCAGATGGAAGTCTTCTCATTTGTAGCGACTAGTCGTGCACAATCAACAAGTATTCATCTTTGGAAACTTATCCTGTTCCAACACTTGAGGGAGCTTATAGGTAAACTGCAAGGCGGAGAGAAATTTACAAATTGTCACCGGAAAGCAAGAAGTACACAACAATCAATACGAATTACGGTCATCTCGCCCCATTGCCATCTCGCCCCCACTCTACCGTCTCACCCCACCATCTTGCCCCCACTCTACCATCTCGCCCTACATCTTGCCCCAATATTAGATATCCGTTAGTCCACATTMCAGATGTTATTTGTGTGATTCTAGCGTAATGTATTTGATTTATTACATATCAGGAACACTTGCTTGTTTTAACATTAAAGCAGAATGTATACTGTTGCTGTTGTCGTTCGATCGACYGTTACCGTAATACGCAGACTGAATCGAGCTTTAGTGTGATCGAGAATATTAGTAAACAAACCAGCTCATCGCCATTCATTAGAAATATATTAAAATGTTACGTTGTGTCCTGCAAATCATGCCAAATTAATAAATGATCCTTGATCGACGCAMTTTCGAGCATTATAATTAAGTTTAGTTCTGTTAGTAGAGCAATGGCTTTCCAACTTTTGGCAAACCCAAGACTCATGCTCGAGTTCGAAACTCCAAACAGCATCTWCAATCTTTTTGTTTACGTCRATAAATGCAACTAGTCTCTTTTGTTTTAGAAGTCAAGCCTTATCATACTTTTCAACATCTTAGTCTCGATTAGTCGCCATTACAGTATTGTTCACATGACAGTCTCTCACGTGATCTCCAAAATATTATGTTATGTATTGATATTTAATTGTTATCCAGCAGACGGTTGATCTTCTATCGGTAGAGAGCCTTTTATGAATTARATCTTAAGACGTTTCTCTATCATGGAAACAGAAATGATAAACTTTTGATTGTCATATTAAGTAACGACGTGCGTAAGAACGATAGTACAAACGGCAGAGGAATGTAAATACGATACTTTGGTCAAATAAACGTAATTGGCTTAAAGAATTAAATTCCTTGACTGTGATTGTTCGAAAACCTTATTTTCCCGATTTTTKCACGAAAAAAATGATTTGCAGTCCCGATCTTTCCAAATATGTAAGTAGCATCCAAACATCTTTTGTTTGAAGATGTTCGGGGAGGATTCGTATGTGCGGAAACTAGTATGAARGGTTCCCGAACATTGAGTTATCATATTTCACAGCTATAGAAACAAACGCGTCGTTCAATTTTAGTACCAACATTCAGTGGAATTCTCGATTTATTACCTCTATATCTGCAAATTCACATCCTGGAATGTWATCTATACTTGAAAAATGCCATTTACTGCAATATGTTGTTGCCAGTGGCATGAAAAATGGTGGGGAAACAAGCCTGATCACACGCGACAAGAAGAGCTTCGGCTGGTTTCAAGAGACGAATCGAAGTTTTTGGAGCTTGAATTGGACACGAAGAGTAAGTCAAGAAAAGTCTGTGTATATTGCAGATCCAGAATCGAAACGGAACTTCAAGGCAAGAAATCTAAAACTTTGGTAAGTGTCGTGGCTCGAATTCATGTCGTAATGTCTGAATAACACGAGTTTCACGTAAAGCTTCAATAGAAATCGTCGCTTATTTTCTTTAYCTTTTCAACTGTGGATTCTTAGATAATTTTACATAAGATATAATTTGTATCAAGATGTGATTTTTTATTATTATGTAAGGCTAATAGTTGAGTTTGGCGATCTCTTTTACGCAGTGTTAGCCTCAATTGTGTGCTAAAATATTCAGAAATTTAGATAAAACTCGTGAGATTTCAAACTTAAGTACCATTGTCTTCTATACTCACGGATCTCTTGCATTTGCACGGGCAGTTAGTGAATAAAAGAATATATTAAATGGTTTAAAGGCTAACACAGCGCAAAAGACATCGCTAAAAGGGTTTATTTTTATTCAGAGTTGTTATAAATTTTGATGCATACATTCTTTTACAACGTAAACAACCAAAGCAAATTTCAGATTTTACTGTAGTAAGATTTTAAAAGATTTTGAATGGCTACAAAAATAAAACCACACTACATCAAAATGCTTTTTTTTAATTACAATCCTCGATAACTGACAGAAACAAATAAAAATAAAATATTTTCTCACTTTTGAGTAGTCAGGATTTTATATATTAAAAGAGGGATTTTCCGAATTATATTGTCCCAAGTAACAACTTTGAGTTGTAGATGGTTAAAGTATGCAACTCTATGATTTTACTAGTGTTTGTTATGATGTATGTGTAATCAGTGGTGTTTGCTTTCAATCCCCTTAAATTTGTCTGATAATTTTGATTATGCATATGGTATGTGCCTGTTTATTATAATTATATTTTRAAATATTGCTATTTTTTCTGTTTAGGATACCACAGAGCCAGAAATAGATTATGATAACTATTACAATAGAGAATCTGAGGTAGATTGTGAGGTCCATGTACCAGCAGCTACAGTTGAGACACCATTTTCACCATCTCCACATCATTGCATTCCTGTGGCCATTTGTGAAGACAAGGGAACTCAGTGTCCTTCTTTGCCAAGTGCACCTTAAACGCCTTTGTCTGACYGAGGAAAACGAGAATTAAGTTCTGAAGTGATAGACACTTTATATCAAGAGATGTTAAGAGCCTATGTCTGTAAAAATGGAACATAATCGAAAATCTGTGGCAACGGTCAATTTTTCGATTTCGCTCAATTTGTGCTATAAGATATATAATCACTCAAGTAACAGCAGTATGAGTCTTCTTTTGAAACAATATTTTTTATTTTTGAGAAAATTTTTGAGAAAAGATTTTGTGACGAGCCTTGCTGACCGCCAAATTTGCTGATCAACAGCGTCCAAATCTGAACCAAGTTTGATCGCCTTGCTTACAAAGAAAAAATAATTCTTAGAAACCAACTACCCCAAAATATTGTTTTATGATCTTTTAACATTCATTTGTGTGATTTTGGAAATGTTTGCTTTAATTAAAATATTAAAAATAATTTTAGTCACGAGGACGGTATTTTCAATCGCTGAAAGTGTACCTTGAAAAAATGCCATTTTCATCATGCGATAAACCTTTGAATTAAACAAGSTTCTGCACATCGAAAGAAGAATAAATTTGCGTTCAAACGACGTAGAGATATCTTTGGGCAAATAAATAGTTGATTTATAAGATCTATTGAAAGGTTGCTCAAAATCGTGTTTACGTGACCTTGATCGACCTGGACTGCTCAGACGGCGACTCGAACATCAGTTTCTTGATATATTCGATAATAATTGCCAACAAAACCCCAAAATTAACTCCAAATACTAAGAAGTTCTATAATTAAGTTTTACTTACCCAAGATAGTTTTTCTAATGCAATAAACAGCTGTAAATATACTTCTTTTCCGTTATTCTTGTGTGCTTGGCGCGAATCCGATTACTGCCGATAACTTCTCAGGACATAYCAACAGGTGAATAGTTTAGAAAAAAGCAGAGTAGTCATTTCTGCCTTTATTTAGCCTAATAACTTACAAAAAGAAGTCTTATTTTGRATTTCAAKATTGTCACTCGCTGTTTTGAAGCTTTGATGGAACTTGTACGAAGTACACAAACAYGCGCATATTAATTAGGAGGAACGCAAGGCTTCGAATAATGACCTAGAGGGGAGGGGTGTGTAAATGTAATTATCTTGACTCGGTTACAAATCTTTAATCGTTTTTGTAATCATATTCGTTTATTTTGATTGTGATTAGCCTTATTATT